AAAAAGTACTTCTGATGGTTGTACGTGGTATTGTGGAGTGAATTTTGCAGTGCTGACTTTAGATGCAGAATGTTTCCCTCTGTCTGTGGAGGATTGGTTCATGTGTTGGCCATTACTGGCAGTCTGCTTTTGTCCCTTTAACCCCCAGTTATGATTTTAGTAGCAGAATGTATGGCCACAAACTCAGTGAAGTTTAGGTAGAAGCAGGTAGTGCCAGGAGCTATTGGCAACCACCTCCGTGTGTAAATTCATCATTTACATCCTTTGTTAGGATTTATTTCCATGTTGTTGCACTGACCTGTTTTCTTCCTTTGTTTCCCCTGCCGAAAACGGGAGCGTTTTGATGTTGCTGGTATTTCCGCAGCCCCCTACAAGGCTGTGCACAGCCCTTGGTCCCGTTTGGCATTATCTGCCGCAGCAGTGCCCCTTTTTGTGCAAAGATAACAATTGCATCTGATAGTTAAGAACTTATTATTCCCTCCTGCAGAAGACATCTCAGTGAGCAGCAGCTGAGACCCCTGGAATGCCCCGGCTGTACGCGGTGGTACTGGTGTTTTCCAGCCTGGAACGCTTTCTGCTCGTGTTGGGGGTTTTGCAAAGCTCCTAGCACGTGCTTTGTTGGCTGCCAAATTACAAGTAGGTCTGACAGCAACCAGTAAATTGGTTAAACAACCACCTCGTCGCATCTAAACAGCAGTAGGGTTTTTATTTTATGTTTATGGCAGCTGTTTTGATATCCCCCTCCCTTCCCTCTCAGGAGCACTATGTACTGAATACTCTCACAAGATTTGAAAAGAGATTTTTTGGACATTATTTTCAGGTTTTGACTTGGAAAACAGTTCCTAATGTTGAAAAACAAACAAAGATGAACACCCAACCCCTCCCTCCAATACAAACAACCCAGCTTTTGGATCTGCTGGTGTCTTTTCTTTGCCCCGTTGCCATAGCAGTCCGCACGTATGTTGCCTTATCTTGCTGTGGACTTCCCCAGGTGGCTTGCAGGATAGCGTCTTGTGATTTCCAGAAAACAGAAAAGGGAGCAGATCAGACCTTTAGCCAGTGTTGCTTCATCACTCTTGCTTCATCCTGTCCCCAAAGAAAACTGTGATCGCGTAACTCCATTGCAGCCATCCCCAGTGTCCTCGTTCCCCGCATGCCCACGACAGCCTGGAAGGGACCTGGTGCCCCTGATGAGCTCTCAGAAACGCAGGGCTCCCACCTGTGAACCTGCGTGTCCCCTACATCTGAAGATGGAGCAGGAAAAGAGGGAGGTGTCAGCACAGTTGTTCTGATAGACACAAGCCTCTCTATAGGCAGGGTAAGGAAGGAAAGCAGCTAATGTTGGGAAAGTGGGCACTCTGTGTCATGATGGGGGTGGTGTACCATGGTTTTGTCCTTGGGTATTTGCTGTCTTCTGCTCCAGAAGGAGGAATAAAAAAATAACTATTACGGAAATAAATTTTTGAATGCTTAAAATGCAGAACTCTAGGAGACAGATTTTGTTTCCTCATAAGAAATTTGGGAATGACTTCTTAAATAATGTAAAACCTAAGGGCTTATCTTTTCACCCCAAAGCCCCATCTTTAGGCGAAGGCTGTGAGTGTTAATTAAAAGAGAAATTTAATACACGTGCTGTAAATTTTCCTAACCCTGCTCCTTCTCCTGTATATTTGTCTCCTGTCTCCCCGAGTAGCTAACTACCTGTTTGCCTCCTCAGAGATGTGGTAACAATGTGCACGATGCCATGGGCTTGTCATCATTTCATGGGCAATGTGCTAAGTTATCTTGCACCTAGATGTACTTCCCTCCTTGCACCTTGGGGGATTTCTCTTAACGTACCTGAGAAAAGAAGGCCTTCCCCTCCTCGCCAGTCAGGTGGGGAAGAAGTGCTCTCTTCAAATAAATATTTTTTTTAAATGCTGTGTTTCCTGTTGGATTATGGTGACGTTAAAACAAAAACAACAAAGCAAGAACTTACAGTGGGGAATTTCACAATTAGGTCCTTCAGTTCCCGGTTCCCCCACCGCCTCATTGGGCCAGACCTGAAGCGGGACAGGAGCCGTCATGGAAATAGGATGCAAAATAAAGCCTTGTACGGGAATCTGCAAATGAGCCTTACATTTATTAATCATTCATGGTTCCTTCATTCCCAGAAACTTCAAAGTAGGAAGCCATAGCCAAGTCTGAAGGAAGTTCATTAAGTACAGTGGAAAGCAGTGAAGGCGTTAGGCCTGGCGCTTCAGGAACGTCTCTGAGGTGGTGATAAGGAGATCCCCGGTACAGGGCTCCCTGCATCCTAGGAGCTTGGCTCAGGAAGGTCGTTACCTCTGTTCTTCCTTGAATTTTCTGTCAGAAAGCTTGGAGCCCAGTCCATGTTCTGGGTTACCTGGTATAAAAAAGGTGGGGATCTCCTGGAAGGAGTCCTGCAGAGGGTCACAAAGATGATGAGGCAAGGCTGAGAGGCCTGGGTCTGTTCAGCCTTGAGAAAGGAAGACTGAGGGAGGGATCTTACCAGTACCTGTAAATACCTGAAATGTGGGAGACAGGAGGGATATGGCAACCTCTTCTCAGTGGTTTCTGGGGACAGGACAAGGGGCAATGGCCACAAAATGGAGCCCAGGAAGTTCCTCACCAACAGTGCCAGAGAACTTCTTCACGGGGAGGGTGACGGAGCACTGGGACGTGTCTCCTTGCAGTGCTCTTGGTGGGCACAGACTTTGCATTTCTACTGCTGTGGATGTCCATTAATGTTGTAGTGAGATGAAATAAATAATTTTTGCTTACTTGTAAGTTTTTGCAGGCACAAAATACAGAAAGTTCCTTTCTTTTAGAGTTCATGCTGGGTTAATTAAAGGTGTCAAGGTGAATCAGAGCAAGGCCACGGTTTCTGCTGATCTTCCTTGAGCACTTCATGCATGGCTGTCCCAGGCTGTGTTGGGTCTTCTTGAGTACTTCATGTATCCCAGGCTGTGTTACGGGTTTATTTTGAGATTTAGAATCTGCCTGTCTTGTAGGTGTCCATGAGTTGTACACAACTGGTGGTGCACCCTCCAAGACACGCAACAGCTCTCCTCTGATCTCTAATATGAAGGAGTTTGTGCTCTTAACTGAGGCTGTGCTTGTAAATGTTGGGGTTACTTACACAAAATTATTCTTTAGATCCAACGTACTTTGGAAACTAACTACAGATTGTACTGAAGGGCTCTGTTGGACACTGCCCTTTTCCTAGTCCAGTAATGACTCTAGGGATTGTTTGTTCAGATGGGCCAAAAACAAAGGATATTTTGGTCTGTAGGTATTGTTGTTTTATATATATATCTATATTGTTGAGTGTTGCAAGGCAGATTTTCTTGGCAGGGCATTTATTTAGTGTAAAGTGTTTGTCCAGAATCTTGTTTTTTTTCCTTTTTGAGGACAGGTTAGTGGACTGGTTTTGAAGTGAGCCATGTGGCCTTGCAGCAGGTAGTCATTTTTGGATGTTTCAGAGGTCCAAAACCATTTCAGATGTGTGGCACTCAGCAGCTTGACTGAAATAAGTGAAGCAGTTCCAGCTTACACCAGCTCAAATACCTGGCACACCCAGTCAGGAACAGGAATTTCTTATACTTTTTTTTTCTCAATTTTGTGGTTCTCTTAAATACTTTTGGATGCATTCATCAAGGGTTTTACACATTATACAGTGTCTCCCTAAATGAGTTCACTTTAGGTTAAAGAATAATTTTGCTTAAATCTTTCTGTATCAAACAGAAAAGATTTCCCCTTCTTGATCTGCTCCAGTGGATGTATTTCAGTACAACAGACCAAGATAGGCTCTCCTCAAGTTGCAGTCTTTTGTCCTAAGGCTTTTCCTCTTTTATTGTTCTTTCTTGTAAGATTAAAGTGTGTAGCAGCTTTTTTGCATGCCCACCTATGTCGCAGATTCTCCTAGCCATCCAGGTCTCCACTTGAACCATTTATCTTTTGCAATATTTGCTTGTCTTGCGAAACGTACATTAATCGTTTTTCAGAGCGTCTTAAGCTGGATGTGCCAAAGAGCATCAGTCGGAGACCTGTAATTGTTCCTGCTTAGGTTTCGAAATGAAGGTGTAGAGGAGTGCAGATATACCATGTTTTATTGCTCTCCAGCCTTGACCAGCTCCCTTCCCTGGTGCCTCCGTGTGCCAGTAAGCCCAGAGCGACGCCCTGCAGTGCTCTCCTGACAAACGCCTGACTCACTCAGTGCAAAGGACAGGAGCTGAACGGGAGTAGAATTGAAGTTGCACACACAGTGGCCACTTGTTGTTTCGTGTTTCTGCTCAGAAAGAAACCTTCTAGACAAACAGAAGCTTTGTCAGCTGTAGATGTATATATTTCTGTCTAACAACTAATGTAAATTAAAGGGATCTGCACAAACTGCAGAATATATTCCAACAGTTCAACGTGGACATGAAGCTGGCATAAATCATTTCCTTCCTTCCTTCAGCACTCCAGCCCTGTGCCAGCAAAGAGTTAGTGTAATCAGGGAATGAACTAGAGCAGGGAATTGATGAGAGTTAAAGCTAACCTGTGAGGAAAAAAAGGTATATTATAACCCCAGTTATTGTGGTCACCCTGGTACTTGGTGTGGGATGAAAATGCGGGCGCAGAATAGGAGATGCACGGAGAAGGAGAGCGCTGCTTTTGGCAGCCCTTCTGCATGATGCTTGCTGGAAATGCATGTAAAACTGCAGCCTTGTATGAAAAGGCTGTTTGTTGTTGAGCAACACCCTCCCCATCCTATTCCTCATTGCTGATTGAACATCTTCAATTCATGATCATGTGCTACAGTATGTAAATAACTTAACAAACATTCAGTTTCATGTTTTAGGTGTAAAAGATAATATTTTCTTACTTCTGTTGCGTCTGTTGACAGTTACATGGGTTAATCTGTCTATAAATAACATAGATGTTTGCGTCACCTTCTTACAGGTCTGGTTTTAGTAGTCAAATTAAATAACAATTAATTACTATTTTTTAAACAGAAGTCAAAGAGCAGTCTGCAGAAGAAGATGCCCAAGCAGAAGTGGACAGCACCAAGCAGCTAACACCAGTCCTTCAGCGCTCAGTGTCTGAGGAGTCTGCAAGCTCCACCGCCTCTGTTGGTGTCGAAGCGAAAACCAGGTGAGTAAGTGAGGAGATGGGTGCTGGGGCAGGGCTAGGAGTTGAGTAACGGGGCACAGAGTACTTGGAACACAGACTCAGGACACGCTGCTGGTGCTTTGAAGTATTAGTAACGGCAGCCTGTGTTGGCAGCTCTTGTGTTTGAGACTGATGGCTTAATTGGTGCAGAGGGAGATCAAGGTGAAAAGCATGTTTCTTGAGTGTTGTCCTCAGATTACACTCGTAAACCCTCGGATTACAGCATATTAGCTGTTTAAATTAAAACAGATATAAGTGATAGGAGATAAAATGTGATTACTGAAGTGTTCTTGCAGAGAAAACGGTGTATAAGCAAATCCATGTACAATTGTTTCTTAAGTTTCAGTTTGTATTCCTGTGTTTTCAGGAAGATAAAAAAAAATCTCTTGCAAATTCTACTATATTTTTTCCTTATTTAAGAATTCATAATAAAGAAAATAGCATTACTGTGTTTTTTTCCAACTTGTTGTCAGTATAAATTGCCTCAAAATCAGTGAAAGTATTAATTATATGTAATTACATTATTTGGGGAAAATGAAAACACGCTGCCTGTGATCACTGTTGAAACGGTATCACAGAATTCTAGCAGAGCTTCTGTGATGAAGCCCTGCTAACAGCTTTTAACCCAGTAGCAGTTCTCGTTGGCTGCAGAGCTTGCTGTTGCCAGTCTGTTAGCAGTTACCAGACACTTACAGGTGTAATTATATTTCGACAGACGTGGAGAGAATAATGTAATCATTTTACATCCTCCTAATCAGACACAGAGCACGTTTCCCATGCAGAAAAGTTTACTTGATTTACTTTCTTGCATGTATCATTTTCATATTTTACCTGCTCACAAGCTTGTTAGCTCCAATAGACGCTTCCCTCCTTACAGAGAATTTTGGTTAAACATGTCTTGCGTGTGTACCTGGAAGAAATACACAAAAATCCTGATTTTAATGGAATTTTCCTAAGCTAATACTAAACTGTAGTAAATACGTAGTGCAGCTGGAACTGAACGGTTGTTTTGGTTCTTTGTTTGGTCCTGTTTTGGATCATTTGCAGAAGTTGCTCATGTTGTTTCATCCGCTCTCTGTTCTTCTCAAGGTTACTCTCTGGCTCTTATCGTGGGTGGTGGATTACAGCACTTTCCCTAACCATAATCTCTTTCTTTAAAACTGGACAACAGTCAGCCAAGAAAAAAGCCTAAAAAGCCTTTTTTTTTTTTTTTTTTTTTTTTTTTTTTTTTTTTTTTTTTCCCAAAAAACAGCCCTTATTTGTACTCAGTATGTTTGTTCTGCCAACTGGCAGTGCTGAGTTCGATTAGTCAATGCTGAAAGCATAGCATGGGTCCATTGCTTTGGCTGATAGAAGCATTAAAAAGCTAAGTGCTATTAATTTATAAGTAAAATAGTAATGATCATACCCTGTCTCTAACATTTTTGAAAGAAATGTATTAAAAAGATGTGGAACAGTTGATTGGGAGATTTCTCTCATCCCAGTTGGTTCCAGATTTGGATGCAGAAATCATTCGTGTCCTCATAATAATGGAAAAAATGTAACGCCAGGTTTTATTGGCACCATGTCTTGAAACGGAACAGCAGAATGCCTCTTCTGAGCTGGGACTTCTTGATCAATCGCCTGTCTCACTGTCCGTGATGTGTTGACACAGGCACCATGCCTCGCAGGGGTGGAAGGGCTGGATGCTGAGTGCCTTGACTCTGTTTGCTTAGGAGAAAGCACAACATGTGAAATAACACACACTGGTGACTTTCGGTTCTCTTGTGTAAGGGTGGGAGGGAATGTATGAAGATTTAGGATAAAATAAAACCCCATAAAGGCTTGGGACCTGTAACTTGGGGAAGCAGCACTGAAGCTGACTTCCAACTGAGTCATATTCAGCAGCTTCATCTCTTCTTGTGTGAGGTTTTCTGTTTCATTTTACAGTGTAAGTAACTTAATCCAAGGGAAATGAATATATATATGTATGGAAATAAATGTAGGTATGCGAGAGGTATGGCAGCATGTGGTAACAGTGCAGGAATTGGTAGGGGACAAAAGAGAACCAAAGCTCCTACCAGCAGTAGATGCAGGTGTAGGTAGAACTACTTTAGCACCACTTTTTTCAGTAAATAGAATTGAATATAAGACAATTTGGGGCTTCTACCTTTGGCAGTTAAAGATAAAGAAAGGAGTTAGGGAAGCATAGGACATGGGGTGTAAAAGGAATTTTTAAAAATTAAATAAGTTGCTAATGAAAAATAGCGATCTTGGCATAGCAGGGATGCATCAGCACTAGGGTGGGGACTGAGCCAGAGCTTGGCTAGCGTGGTATTTTTCTCCTGACCTCTCCTGAGACTAACTAAGAACATGGAAGAGAAGGGTGATGGAGGTGTAGCCAGTTCTGGAGCCTCACAGTGCATATAATACAGAGCAGGGTGTCGGGGAGAGCCATGAACTGCGAAGAGGGTGGGAATTTAACAACAGATTGAGGATTAGTGCTCAGAAAGCAACGTGCTAAAACCCTAGAATAAACATCACCTCTGCCGTACTGGGGTATGGCAGGCTGCAAGGGGTGAGGTGTGGGTGTACGCTGCGGAGCAGTGAGTGAATTATTGACCACGCGTGGGGAGGGGCAACAACGTCAAGCAAAGATAAACTATCGAGCCCGGCAGTGCTCAAAGCAACACTGCCAGCGCTTATATATCAGCAGCGGCAGGGGGGTTGGAGCCTTTTCCTTTGGTTGTTCCTTTTTTTTTTCTTTTTTTTTTTTTTCTCTTTTTCTAAGCCCTGTGAGAAGCTTCTGTCAGCCCCGGATTTATGGTGGAGTGGAATCCAGACCTTTCGAAAGGAGCCTGCTCCTGGGGTTTGTGCTGCTGGCAGGGAGCTGGGGCAGCGCAGCCCTGAGCAGGCACCCTGAGCCCACCTCCACCTTCCTCCTCTGCTTCCCACATCGTCAGCCCCAAGCATTAAAAGCTAACAAGAACGGCCTAAGAACACAATTTTGTAGGAGAACAAAACCACCTTTTGGTTCATTTTATTTTCTGTCTGCTTTCTGAGGCTGTAAATGGCATTAATTGCTCATTTTCAGTCCTTTTGCTGAAATCACGAAGACAGAACATCCTTAAAAAATCAACCAGTGGAGCTGCTGAGATTTTCACGTGGCTTTTTAGATGAGAGGCTCTCTTGTGAGGCTGTCACTAAAACTACAAAAAAGCTGGCTATACACTTTACTGGTCTTCTGCTTCGCTTTGTAATTGGGCAAAGCAGATCATTTCCATTCCTGCACAATTACACTATCCCCCCTTATTTTGTTGCAGCTTTTAAGATCAAATTTGGAGTCTGGAGATGGAGGGATGGGGTTCTTTCTTCTGTTGAAAAGAAGTTGGTGAACATCTGTTGATTGTGTGAACAAAGAAAATACTTGGTGAAAAAAAGTAGTATTTGATATAAAGTAGTTTAAAAATGAAGTTGCAAAGTCAAGCACCTTGTTTAGGGGGTACCAGAAATAAGATTAATTTTGAAACTCTAATCACTTCCTTTCCTGCACATGTGTGCAGGAAACTACAGTTTGTAGTTTTACATAAATGCTTTTCTGTAAGAATTCTGTGTGCAGAGTGGACCTTACGCGTGGAACAGGGCACCTGAAGTCACTGCATGGCTGTACCTTTAGGCTTTCACATCCAGGTTTAGCATTTACGGTGAGCATTTATGGTATCGATCCGTGTAAGCATTTAGTGTCATTCTCTGAGGTCAGGGATGGAGTTTTGCATCTGCAAAGCGCAGACATCATCCTTTCATGTTACATCATCCCCCTAAAAAAATAGGTTGTTTAATAGTAGCAAAATAATAGCTTGTCGTTCTGTCAATGACCGGCCAACCTCAGAGTGAAATCACTGAGACAGCCCGATTTGAATATCGTCGGTAGGTAGAGACTAAGACAGTAGACTGAACAATTAGAAAAATTGAAAATTATTTCCTGTTTGTCCATCCTGTCTGTCTCATGTAGTGACTGCGGAAATGAATTTTATGACTGCTGGTTGTTAAAGCAGTTCTGTCTCAGCTTTGTAGGGCAGAACGGGGCCTTTGGAAGTCCTGTTAGCTGCTTTCCTAAGGCAGGCAAGTAACTACAGCTGGCATTCCAGACAGAAGTTTATGTAAACTGCTTAAATCTTCTTCCAGTACTAACGGGACATGGTTTAGTGGGTGATACTGGTAGAAAGGGGACTGGTTGGACCAGATGATCTTGGAGGTCTTTTCCAACCTTTATGGTTCTCTGAATCGACATTCTGGCCTTAATGTTTTTTATGCTTTCTTGTGCTGGTGGGACTCGGCATTCCTACCCATGCCTTTGAGTTGCACAGTCCTTTGCTACTTGCATTAGTCTGCTACGTAGAGATGGTCCAACCATGGAAACCCCGTTTCGAAATGCCTTATGTGAGCCCGTTCTCCAGGTTCTTGGTGTTCTGCTCCCAGTTACTGCTCGCCTCTCAGAGATGAAGGTTTCAAAGCACTTTTTCTGTCCCTGCTATCCTCCAAAGTCTTCCTCTCTCCACCTGGTTCTGCCCCATTGCTTACGTGCAGCTGTCCTGCCGCTTGTGGGCAGCGAGCCTAGCCCTGGCAGGTCAGATCCGTTCACTGCTCGGACAGCTTTTCCTCCCTCTGAGAGATGGAAGCCAGACAGCAGCATCCCACGAGCTGGGTTTGGTGGCTGGCAGTCTGTCAGAGCACGCCGAAGCTCTGACAGCACGACGTGTTGGGCAGCGGCTCACACAGACCCGGGCACAGCAGCGGATGGGACGCCTGCTTTGTCAGAGGGTTTCCCCGCTGCATTTCAGTCAGGAATGATGGTAGGAGCCGGGCATCTTCGCTTCTGTTCCACTGTTGGGTGAGTACAGCTGTCCTGTTCCCCATCACCTTCCATTTCCCCTGCACGGTAAGCCTTCAGTCTCACCCTGCCCATTCACTCATCACGCCTCCCTTCACTTCCAGTTCAGTCC